GGGGTGTGGAGGGGTGATGTGGGAGGGGTGAGGTGTGATGTGAGGTGAGAGGGGAGGTGAGAGAAGTGTGAGGGGTGAGGGGAGGGGTGATGTGTGAGGGGTGAGGTGTGGATGTGTGGAGGTGAGAGGTGAGGTGAGAAGTGAGGGGTGAGGGGGGAAGTGTGAGGGGTGAGGGGGTGAGGTGTGAAGTGTGAGGGGTGAGGTGAGAAGGGTGAGGGGTAAGGGGAAGGGTGAGGGTGGAGGGGAGGTGTGAAGGGTGAGGGGCAGGCAGCGTGAGGGGTGAGGGGGAGAGGTGAGGTGAAGTGTGTGTGAGGGGAGAGGTGAGGTGAGAAGTGTGAGGGGTGAGGTGTGAAGGGTGAGGGTGAGGTGAAGTGTGAGGGGGAGGGGTGAGGAGGTGAGGTGGAAGGTGAGGTGAGGTGTGAAGTGTGAGGGGTGAGAGGAGGTGAGAAGTGTGAGGGGTGAGGTGTGAAGGGTGAGGGGTGAGGTGTGAAGGGTGAGGTGAGGTGAGGTGAGTGTGTGAGGGGTAAGGTGTGAGTGAGCGAAGTTATATACAGTTGTGACACAGTTACTGGATCAACAGTTACGATATCAACCAGTTACGACATCAACCAGTTACGTCATTAACCGTTTACGACATCAACCAGTTACGTCATTAACCGTTTAAGACATCAACCAGTTACGTCATTAACCGTTTAAGACATCAACCAGTTACGACATTAACCGTTTACCGTTTAAGACATCAACCAGTTACGTCATTAACCGTTTAAGACATCAACCAGTTACGACATTAACCGTTTACGACATCAACCAGTTACGACATCAACCGTTTACGACATCAACCAGTTACGACATCAACCGTTTACAACATCAACCAGTTACGACATCAACCGTTTACGACATCAACCAGTTACGACATCAACCGTTTAAGACATCAACCAGTTACGTCATGAAGCATTTACGACATCAACCGTTTACGACATCAACCAGTTACGACATCAACCGTTTAAGACATCAACCAGTTACGACATTAACCGTTTACGACATCAACCAGTTACGCTACACTCTGATGGCAGTAAGCAACTTCCTCCTACAGGTCCTGGTAGTAAAGAACTTCCTCCTACAGGTCCTGGTAGTAAAGAACTTCCTCCTACAGGTCCTGGTAGTAAAGAACTTCCTCCTACAGGTCCTGGTAGTAAAGAACTTCCTCCTACAGGTCCTGGCAGTAGTAAAGAAATCCTCCACAGGTCCCTGGTAGTAAGATCCCTCCCACAGGTCCTGCACCTGGTAGTAAAGAACTCCTCCCACAGGTCCCGGTGTCCCAGGGGTAGTAAGAACTCCCCACAGGTCCCAGAAAAGAACTCTCCTACAGGTCTTCCTGTGTAAAGAACTCCCACAGGTAGTAAAGAACCTGGTCCTGGTAGTAAAGAACTTCCTCCTACAGGTCCTGGTAGTAAAGAACTTCCTCCTACAGGTCCTGGTAGTAAAGAACTTCCTCCTACAGGTCCTGGTAGTAAAGAACTTCCTCCTACAGGTCCTGGTGAACAGCTTCTGCCTGCTGGACGACAGATTGACGCCCATAGGCACCAGCGTCTACCTAGCAGCCTCCGTCATCGACCACTCGTGTGCCGCCAACGCCTTCGTGTCCTTCCTGGGCAACAAGTTGGTCGTGCGCTCCCTCGTAGACTGGCCTGACCTAGACTGGACCAGGGTGAGTCACTTCCCAAACACCCTCAACGACATACAGGAGTAGATGAGTCAGTAACGCTCCTATGCCATAGCTGAAACGAGTAGCTGAGTTATATAATTGAGATATATCACTGAGTTATACAGATAAATTATAGCTGAGACTTATCCTAAACCACACAGCTGACTTACAAAGTTAAACCACTTATAATAGCCGAATCACATCCCAACAACATAGCTGAATCGCAAAGCTAAATCACTAAAAAGTAAACTGAATTACAAAGCTAAAACACGTATAACCGAGTCCCATCGTTCATCATAGCTGGATCATAAAGCTAACCCTCCACACCTCCCCTCCCCCTTCTACAGGTGCGCATCAGTTACTTGGACGCAATGAACACGAGGGAGCAGCGACAGACATACCTACAGCGTCAGTATTATTTCACTTGCGACTGTCGGCTGTGTAGAGATGACTCCCACGACCTGACCATGTCCACTGTGCCCTGTGGTGAGTGCTTACTGTGTGTTGTGGTGAGTGTTTACTGTGGTGAGTGTTAGCCAGCGTACAGGTCACTACATCATCTTCATCACAAATTTCATCTTGGATCATCATACTCGTCAACTAGGTACAAAGTTTCTTCCCTATTGTAGACGTTCGGTGTTTGTTCACCTGAGATATAAATAATAACATTCATAACAACATGAACGTCTACTTTCATACCTGATCAAGGTGTCAGAAAATGTGATAAAACGACGTCAATCCTCTCTTGTGGGCGAGAAAATATAGACACCGAGAGTTATGTTATATCTAGTGAGGGAGAACCTCATGTGTGGTGTAGGAGGAGAGCAATGAACAGAAACACACAACCATGAATACTTAGGAAATGTGGATTAATCTCATTTTATAGATTTTTAATATCTTGGTTTGTGTTTGTGTGTGTGTGTGTTTCGGCAGGATCTCCCACCTGCGACGCCCCTGTCTTCATCGACGAGACTGCAGACGGAGGGGTGGGACCTTGTGAAGCCTGCGGGTTCAAGAACTTCCCCGACGACCTCCGCCAGAACTACTGCCGCGCTGCCGCCTTCACCAGGAAGCGGCTGGACGACCTGAACGAGGAGGACCCAGGTACTCTTACTCGCTTCTGTGTCTTTGGGTGTTGGGGGACCCCGAGGTGTGTGACGCAGGTGTAGGCGATAATACTGATATTTGTATACATAAAATATTTACTTCATTATTACACATACTGACTGACCCGACGACTTCACTATATGCAGTGTATGGCCCCGGGGGCGTGACGTAGAACAATGGTGTATAGTTTACATTTTAAAGTGTACCATATTTTTGTAAATATTACTCACTGACTGACAGACAACACAGACGGCATCTATTGTTGTATATGAACTATAGGGCCAAAGAACGGCCGAGGACAAAAACCACTGTTGAATACTTGTTTAAGATAGTTAGCTGACCTACTGTAAGGATCATGAGTACTTAACCTCTAGAACGTTGACTCCCGAGTGTACTGACCTGTGACCCCATCCCCCCCCCCACAGACCTGGAGGTGTGGAAGGAGGTGATAGAGGTGCAGGAGGGGGTACTACACCCCCTCAATGTATTGCGAGCCAAGGCTCTGGACGCCCTCCTCACAGCCACCGTCAACATGCGGGGCTGGCACACCTCCCTGGGCCTGGCTACCCTCAACCACCAAGCCATCAGGAGAGGTGAGGTTAGGTGAAATGAGGTGATGTGAAGTGAATGAATCCATAATAAAGACAAAATTATATTAATGTAAATACCAAATAACAAGAAGACAGCTTTAAGAAGGTAAACATGAGGTGTTGATTGAAGTGGTCGGGTGAAGGCAGTGTGCTATAGGCTAGGGTAGGCTTGTGTGGTGCCACTGACGGTCAAAACAATTCTTATTTTAAAAAACAAACACAAAAATACTTTACATAAGCGAGTTAAACCTATACAAATTTAGGTTTAATATGTTGTTTTTTTCCTTTTAATTAAGTTTGTGAGGCATCTAGTTTGTGTAGATCCTGGTGAGAAGTTTGTTGTGGTAAATTATCGTTTCCTTCAATATTATTTTCTTCACTGTTGATAGACTATTGTAGACCGTCGGAGAAAGGTAGTGTCACTGCAGGGATGATGGTCTCTATGCTTCCCGGTACCGAACACCAACAACACTAACATGGTAAAGTAACAACTATCAATAATTCCAGCATCTTCACTATTTACTGTAGGTTTTAGAGGTCTGGTGTACACTTACCACACACTGAAGATGACGGCCGGCTCTTGCCACACGGAATACGGAGCACCAACACGTCCACGCTGAAAGTAATAAAGATCCTTAATTAACCAGTTATAATATGTTACCATCTTTCTCCTATCGTCAACACCAAACCAAAGGTAACGGTGTCACTGTTCATTCATGGCTCTCACGTAATTTTTTTCTTAGGGGGAATAAATGGTAGAGGGAGGGATGAGAGGAGCGTCATTGCCAGGTCTTTCCACCGTGGAGTCGTCCTTCCTTGTGTGGCTGTGGTGTGATATTTATTGGTATCTGATCTGAACTCCTTTTACTTACCATTTACTGTTATAAACGAGCAGATGGCAAGTAATGATCTCAGAGTACATATTATTAATTAAAGGTTGACGTACCAAACTGATGGAAGTAATATCTTTACCATTCTTGAAGATGGACTTAATTTATGGAATCGACAATTTCCTCTCATCTGTCTTGCACTATAAAAGCTGTTCCAAGTCTATACTGAGTCACAGTCATTAATAACTCTATGTATTACCGTTATTTTGTTCAGGGTGGAGGAGAATGTAAGTCAAGCAGTATTATAAGCAAAATGCTCACACACACACACACACACACACACACACACACACACACACACACACACACACACACACACACACACACACACACACTCTGGCGTCGATATAATGTTTATTACTATTTGTAGTGTTGCCTTTTTTTACTTGGTATTCTCTTTCCTCCCCAGACACTACTACGGTGCCAAACATCCCACCTACGGCCTCTTCCTCTTGAAACTGGTCAAGATAGAGCTGAACAACTTGGCCTTTCGCACGGCCCTCGATCACCTCAAAGATGCCGAAGAGATCCTGGAGGCAGGTCTTGGCTCCAACCATCCGCTGGTCTACCACGAGCTGAACTTTTTGTTGGTGCAGGCGAGCGAGGAGACCAGAGTGGAGATCCAGAGGTCACTGATGTACGGGTCTCACAGCCACGCCGCCACCCGCACCAGGAGCTGAGGCCGCATCGTATACCTCACCTAAACCACTCAGTCCTTCGTGTGTATTTGTATACTGTACTCTGGTCTGGGATGGTGGCTGCTGTATTGGTTTGGTCCACTAAAAGCTTTCACTGACAGGCTACCGTAGTTGTTAGCTGCGAGCGTCGAGACCAGGCTAAGCTGTGGTCACGGAGGATAAGACTTTTGAGGCATCTCTTTCCACCAGTCATACAGTACCTCAGCTGCCAGATAAACGCCTCTAAGGGTTCTGTCAACTGCTGATACTTGCCGCGTCATCCACTGTGCACAACAACCTACGATAACACGGTGGTGTGGTTTACTGGGACAACTGTACGTCCAAACACGCTACATAATTTGTTGTGATCAAACTGAAGATTTACGGTCAACAAAGGCATAACTGACCATGAAGGTTCGCTACTTTGTGGACACAGAAACACTCACGTGAAGACCATTACCACCATCTTCTCTTTCCTGGCCACATAAATCAACATAATCCCTCGATCTCGCCCCCAACATTCAGTTTCTATTCTCTGATGAAATAAATCTAAGGAATGTTAATTTCCCATTTCACTGTGAACACTCAACTCCTCTCCTGAACACTTCACATTAACCCTAAAAAATCTCTCTGTATTCAATTTGTTCTCCAGTAATTGATGTAGAAATGACTGTTGTTCACTATGCACGACATTACATATACCGGCACTTATGATGATTGTCACAAGTTTGAGAAAATCTTCCGAGCTTTTTTGTGTCACCGTTTGGAATCATCCCAATTCTTTTCTCTCGGACCTTCCACACCCGAGGACAGATTTATACCTACTTGTGATGTGAGTGTGGACGGGAGGGAGCGAGGTGTTGAATGCAGATTACAGCTATAGGTGAAGTCAACACGATGATTCTTTTACTGTACGTTAGATGTGGAACGACGTCTTTGTGAAAAGGCTTACCTGGTGATGTGACCAATGAGCAGCGGTGTTTACCTTCGTGTACTGCCGGAGGATTATTTCGTAGCAGTAAAGACGAGGAGTGAAGCCGTGGGTATGAAAACACAGCTCCAGTTACAGTTTAATAATTGCTCTTGTAAACGCGGGTGAGGTAGTATATATATATATATATATATATATATATATATATATATATATATATATATATATATATATATATATATATATATATATATATATATATATATATATAATATATATATATTAGACTCAAGCTTTTTTCTCACACATAATATTGTGAACCTGAATGATGCGACTTAGAGATTAATTTTGTATTCATTTTGATAGTTTTAGCTTCTTTTGAATACAGAAGAGTTGTGATACCAATATGCTAGGAGCTTAGTTTTAAGTAGTCAGCTTGTCTACTGGTTTGGCGGCTGCTAGGTGTTGGAGAGTCTTGTGCTAGGTGCTGGAAGTGTTGTGCTAGGTGCTAGGTGCTGGATAGCCTAGCAACTCACTCTAACACAGTTCTGAGAAAATCATCGACAAAAACAACAGATACTTGACAGTGAAAAACTTGGTATATTTTATTACTGTAGAAAACCTAGTCACTCGCTCATATACTTTACAAAAAAACTGACACACCCTCAAAACAAGGAAGGAACAATTTGATTGAAATACAGATACAGTACATGTTGTCAAAGTTTGATTTTGATAATGGCGGAGGAGACAGTTAGCAGCAGAATTAACTTAAGGAATTACATAAATAATTTTAAAGATGTTATTTGCATGATACTTAACAAAAAGTGGAAACGAGAATATACAGAACCTAACAGAACCTGACTTTACCCAACCACCTAACCTTACCTGACCTAAAGATGTATTTTTCCTTTAATGTCACTTCCTTGCCGCATTCTGGACACATGCACGGCCTTCCACCAAGTCCTTGATCACACATAAAGTCTTATACACGATTTTGATCCTAAAGAAACACAGATGGATTGCAATAAATTAAGGACTTTCTAGTAGACGACGCCGCAATTGCGTTCATAAGGCAATGCCACTCCGACTCTCCTTGTGGAAGAACAATACCAATAGGAACATACAATTGACTTCGAATCCAACCCTACTAAATAAGAACACAAAAGACAACCAATCCATTAACCCTTTGACGACGAGTATAATAACCCTTTGAGGATGGTTTAACCCTTTGATGAGTATATAACCCTTTGAGGATGATGGTTTAACACAGGCTTTGTGTGAAATATAACAGAGTCTAGAACTGCTTTTAGTGTCCTTGTGGCCTAGCCGGTAAGCGTTCCCTAGTCACACCCAGTAGGTCGAGGGTTCGATTCCTTGCTGGTGAGGTCGTTGATTATATATATATATATATATATATATTTCAGCTGAGTTTAGGAAGGTTCGTCTGGGAGTGTCGGAGGTTTGGTTAAGGATCCCACAAGCTGTAGATTTTCTCAGAACATAAAAATCAATAAAGTTCAGATTTTTTTATGATCTTTTATTTTCATATTTTTTCTTTACGACGAAGAAAAAATAATGAATCCTCAGATACTGTTACGTTGTTTTTTCTAAATCAAACTGAATCACCAAAGACAAGTTAAGGTGAAAAGAGTGAACAACTCTGATCACCTGAAGTATCTCTACTCCAGCTTAGTTCACTTAAAGTTTAACCATCTTGACACTATTTGGGGGGATTAGGTTAAGTTAGGTTAGGTTAATGTTAAGCTGGTTTTGTGCTACATTAGGTTAATGTTAAGTTAAGTTAGTGTTAGGTTAGGTTAGTGTTAGGTTAGGTTAGGTTAGTGTTAGGTTAGTGTTAGGTTAGGTTAGTGTTAGGTTAGGTTAGGTTAGTATTAGGTTAGTGTTAGGTTAGGTTAGTGTTAGGTTAGGTTAGTGTTAGGTTAGGTTAGTGTTAGGTTAGGTTTGTATTAGGTTGGTTAATCATTTAGGTAAAATAAGCTGGAATGGAGTTTCCTTAGGTGATCCAGAAATTCTAAGGTACTCCAAATTTAAAGTACTGTAATTGCGAAGACTTATTTATATATCGTCAGAAGATATTTACCTTTAAAAATACTGAAAATTTTTACCCCAAATCTTTTTCATGAGAGGGAGAGGGGTACTAACATAAAACATACTATACACTCCTCCTCCCACACAGCATTTTTTCAAGACCATCTGACCCTGCTTGGCCACGGGATTGAACCCATGTCTCTTGAACGCTTAAAATATTCATGGCAGGAAAGTAAATGGAAAAAAAATAATAATACACAGGAGACGTAAGTAAAAGTATATAAGAAAATTTAACGATTTGAAGAGTTTTACACACCTAACAGAACTATACGAAGGCCTTATTGTCTTTAATTACTGTAATAAATAAATCTCCTTTACACTAGGAAAGAGTACGAGGGATACAGGGTGTCTCAGAAAAAAATACATAGGCCTACACACTGACTAAAAGATTTCGTAGCGATCGCGTGAATTTCTCCTCCTCACCCGTCATATCTCCTCTCCTCCTCACCCGTCATATCACCTCTCCTCCTCACCCGTCATATCACCTCTCCTCCTCACCCGTCATATCACCTCTCCTCCTCACCCGTCATATCACCTCTCCTCCTCACCCGTCATATCACCTCTCCTCCTCACCCGTCATATCACCTCTCCTCCTCACCCGTCATATCTCCTCTCCTCCTCACCCGTCATATCTCCTCTCCTCCTCCCTCACACCTCCTCTCCTCCATATCTCCTCACTTGTTGATAATATACCAGGTCTCCAACAAGCACTTACGAGAACTTAAAAAAAAAATCTGTAATGCACTGTGTATAAATTATTCTGAGACACCCTGTAATGGTTAATGTATAGAGTTTTTGAATCACCCTGAATACCTGGTCTAATTACAAGACCCTGTACAGGTATTATGTCAACATGCCCTCACATTGTAGAGATAACAAAAAATATCTGTACAGGGTGTTTGATAAGTCACGCCCCCACAGGTAAAAATTAATCTTCTCTTTTTTTAATTTTAGAGGGAATCAATAAAATTAACAAAGATAAAAGAGAAATTAACACAAGAAGGAATAATCAATTTAATTAGTCATGTATGGAACACTAGATACAGTAGTACACATCGATTAACTGTAGAAGAATTTATTATGAGTGGTGTCGATTCAATTCGTTTACACCCGACCCGACCCGACCCGACCCGACCCGACCCGACCCGACCCGACCCGACCCTCTACAAAAGAACAACCAAACAGCATGGACAAAAAACAAAAAATGTGTGAATGCAGAATAGAGGAGAAACAAGGAATGACACAAACAAGAAGAAGTAATAAATGTGGTGAGGGTGAGAGACAAACCCAATGGAGAGGACGGGGAGGTAAGGGTTTAGAGGAGAGAGAGAGAGTAGAGACGGGAGTAGTGTATGTGTGTAGGAGGCAAGAGGAGGACACCCTGACGCAACCTGAGGGATAAGTAAATTTTGGATAGGTTAGGTTAGGTTACAGAGAAACAACTGGCCAGCTGATAATAGTTACATAAAGAGAGAGGTTGATGGTGGTGTGTGTGAGGCCCCGGGGCGTCCTGGTCACTAATGACTTCCTTGACAACCTCATCAGGACCTGCTTCCCCCTCCCCCCCCCTTCCTCCTCCTCATCTACACATCTCCCTAAGCTCCATCCTTGACTCCTCCCCCATAACCCTAATTCCTTTAAACACTTCAAAACCACTTCTATATATATATATATATATATATATATATATATATATATATATATATATATATATATATATATAAGAAAAACAATTTAAAACGCTTTCGACACAACATATTTTACTTGTATAGCTGTAAATAAATATTTAAAAAAAATGTAAGTACGGTTCCAAATAATTCGAAAAACTAATGACTAACGCTGAAAAAATAATGACTGGTTGCGCCTGCGAAATAGTTTGTGAAACTGTAAAAGAGAGAGAAACAAAAAATTGATGGCCAAAAGAGAATCAGTTGGACGCTAAATGGAATTGGCAGGAGCAGTACAAACAACGTGATGGATTGGAATGTAGCGGCGCTGATGGAACGGCACCTGGCGGGATTAAATTCATCTATAGCGGCTACGAACCTATCAAACGCCAAACCATTTGACTTTGTCCAACCAGCAATAATATCGTCCACTGCTCCAATTTCACCTTTACTGGAAAATGGCAATCTGGCTGTGTGAATCACGCTCAAAAGCCCCGCGCGCCAACAAAGACTGAGAGGCTGGCGAGGCAGTGACGGCCAGCGCGCATGATCCTCAGTCTGACATTAGCGACCACAACTACCAGCTAACACGACTACCAGCGACCACGACTACTAGCTAACACGACTACCAGCGACCACGACTACTAGCTAACACGACTACCAGCGACCACTGCTACCAGCAACCACTACTGCCAGAAACCACTTCTATCAGCAACCACTACTGCCAGAAACCACTACTGCCAGAAACCATTACTACTAGCAACCACAACAACTAGCGACCTCAACTACCAGAGACCACTGCTACCAAGAACAACTACTGCCAGCTGTACCTGCTATCAGTAACAACTACTGCCACCATCCATTGCTACCAGCAAATACTACTACCAGCAATCACTATTACCAGTTTTCACTGCTGTCAGCAATCATTATCACCAGCTGTCACTGCTACCAGCGACCACTACTGCCAGCAACCAATACAACCGTTTTTTTTGGTATGTTATGTAACTTTTGATTCTGAACAACTTTTAAATAATAATTTTTTAGGCAAGATTTATTTTCTTTATATTTTGGGGTTATTTTCTTTAATTGTGTATCTTATTTTCTTGTAAAACAAAACTCACACTGTTTAGAAAAGGAATTGTAATTTTTTATTTATACCATTTTTAAGGAAATCGTCACATCGTTCTAAATAAATAATGTATTAGTTTCATTACTTCAGAATTCATTATGTAGCATAAAGAATGTAATATCGAATTCATCGATTATAGTAGATAGTTTAATGAACTTAAAATTACAGAGATGAAATCAGTGATAAAAACAATGTATTAATGTACTGTATGTACGAGTCTAACCCTCCCCGGGGACCCTCGGCATTTAAGTCATTACTGAACA